ATAAAAGAACAATAGACTCAAGTGCCGATTGTCAACAAAACTGTACAGTTGAAATAACGAAGGATTGCAATCAAAGGATCAGTGAGTGGTATTTGCGTTAGACCAAATCCGGGACCAAATGTCTGACAAAGTAAGGACAATTCTTGGTCAACAATAATGATATTAATACATTTTCTTTTTTTACTATTTTCAATCCAAGGAAGGATTTTTAGTTTTACTTTATATTTGATAATTAAAGTTTTTATTATTCTTTGCAATAATTGCGGTAAATTTATCAAGTCAAAATTATATAAGTCTTAATTATTATGCTATCAACTGGACTGAGAATTTATTATACTTTTTGGTCACGGCAAGAATAAATGAAACTACATATTCTATATGTATCATTAAACCAAGAGACTACACTAAAAAGAACCCCGAGTGCGCGCTGACAAGCGTCTTGTTACTCATTAGTTTTCCTTTTCCCAGCATGTTGTTGCTGTTCTGCCGGATCTTCTTGTACAAAACAGTGTACTCATGCTCTCTTAAATTTGCTGCACGGACCGAAGGGCCGAAATTTAATTCCTGCAAGGCAAGATTTTGAAAAATTTCCACTAAAGCTTAAGTTTTTGATAAGAGTTTTTAATATAAACACAAAGAAGCCTTATCCTTATTTATTTTTCACGCATCCAAAAAAATGTGGCCCTCCCTACAAATTTAGTCCCCCCCCTCCCCCAATAAATAATGATAGCTCCCTTAATATTTTCTTATTCGCATGATATAAACACTGGACAAAAATAGCGCACTTTAAAAGGTTGTAAATGTGATGTAAATATTATGTAAATGTCTAAAATGATGTAAATTTGATGTAGATTTTAAAATTGAATCCCATAAGCCTTTTYTGAGATGCCGTTTACATTGCACTGTGGTCTAGGTTCGGTGCAAACATCTTTTTTTCATACTGACAAATATTGCTTAAGCTAGCCAGGCTGTGATTGTGTATTTCAGAAAAAGTCTACGTAGCATCCTCGATGAACGAGAAGAAGAAGGCAGAAAGTAAACATGTGAGAATATTAAAGGCTTTTACGAAGAATCTGTTTTGACATTAGTATATGTTTTTTACCTTATATAACTTTAAATACTCTAGTAGTCGTTTGGAAAGTCACGTTCAAGCACCAATRATATAATTTAGAGGGAAACAACAATCTGTAAACATTTGTGGTCGAAAATTGTGAACCAATAACTTTTACCTACAATGAGCTACAACAATGAACTATAATGACCTACAATGACAGCAACAATGACAAAGGGAGAACAGCAGAATGTTTGTTTTTACCTTATTTTCAATTAAATTGTCGATATACAGCCACTATATATCTTGAATTTTTGTCCATTTCGGTTTTGATGAGTATCTACACAGGGAGTGCTAGCTAAAACTGCTTATTGTTACATTTTTTCTCAACCAATGAAATTTGTGTTACGGAGAAGAACCGTAGAGAGAACCCACCAGTAGTACCCATTTCAGTCAACCAATGACATACCATCCCTGTTGCTTAGGATTTGTTACACTTTTATCAACCAATAAGATTTGTGTTGCAGTGGAGATGGAAGCCCTTCTTTTGAAAATTAAAATACTAACCATCTCTCACAAAATGGCCTTGTATCTTACTTGACCAAGTTTATATCAGTATGCGAAAACCCTCAAAATTAAAGAATATTCTGTCAGAAGTGAGTCATTTCA